CGGTGCCCCTGGTCTGCTGGAGACGGTCCCCAGCAGACCAGGGGCACCGGGAGCAGCTTTTCTCGCCCCGGAGGTCGATGTGGCTGACCGCTGCCTTCGAGCTCCGGGGCGAGAAAGCCCCGTTCGTAAGTCGGGGACTGCCTGTAGTTAAATGTCTGGACTGTCATTGCTTATTAAAAGTGCTGTCATATGGGTAGAAATGGGGTGAATATTGCATTTTATTAATATCAGCAGAACTGACTTACATGGGGCCTGTGTGTTGTGTAGTCTTGCCTTAATCTTTGTCTTCATGCCCAACAATGTGATAGAAGTCATGTAGGAGGTGAGCATGTGGCTGGTGCCCTCCTTTTCTTCTTCCCCAGCAGTCACCACTGAGGTTATGTCTAGGTCAGTGTTTCTCAACCTTTTTTTATAAAGTACCCCTTTAAAAAAAATTAAGTACCCCCACTACCTAGTTTTCAGACACACACATTTTTTTCTACCATTGCAACACATTTGTTTAAACAACTTAATTGTAGCCAGGTGGGTGATGAAATTTTTGGGTGTAAAAAGTACAAAAATAATAAAACGTTGTAAAACTTAAAACAAACATTCAGTTTTCTCCAAATTCAGAGAGTATGTCTACACTACCACCCTAGTTCAAACTAGGGTGGTTAATGTAGGCAACCGAAGTTGCAAATGAAAGCTGGAATTTGAATTTCCCGCGCTTCATTTGCATAATGGCAGCCGTGCATTCTTTCAAAAACGGGTATTTGAAAGTGAAACCACTGTCTAGATGCAGTTCTTTCAAAAAAGAACCCCCTTTTCAAAAGATCCTGTACTCCTCAAAAAATGGAATAATAATTGGTCAGCTTTCAGAATGGAGAGATGTAACTAGTGGTGTCCTACAAGGGTCCATACTGGGACCAATTCTATTCAACATATTCATAAATTATTTGGAGAAAGGGGTGAACAATGAGGTGACAGCATTTGCAGATGATACTAAACTGGTCATTACAGTTAAGTACAAAGCAGATTGCAAAGAGTTTCAAAGGGATCTCATAAAAATAAATGGGCAACAAAATGGCAGATACATTTTAATGTTGATAAATGCAAAGTAGTGCATATTGGAAAACAATCCCAACTATATATAAAATGATGGGAAATAAAGTAGCTTTTTCCACTAAGGAGAGATCTTGGACTCATTGTAGATAGTTCTCTAAAAACATCCATTCAATGTGCACCAGCAGTTAAAAAAGCAAACAGAGTGTTAGGAATAATTTTAAAAGGGATAGGGAATAAAATAGAGGATATCTCACTGCCTCTATATAAATTCATTGTATGCCCACATCTTGAATACTGCATGCAAATATGGTAACTTCATTGTCAAAAAACATATCTTTGCATTAGAAAAAGTTCAGAAAAGGGCAACAAAATGATTAGGGGTATGGAATAGTTGCCATACCAGAGATGAGTAAGAGTGGTGATTTTCAGCTTAGAAAATATGAAGGGGGGATATGATAGAGGTCTATCAAATCATCACTGGTGTGGAGAACATGAATAAGGAAAAGTTATTTACTTGTTCCCATAAGAACTAGGGGTCACCACGTTAAATTAATAGATAAAAGGTTTTAAAAAAACCAAAACAATATTTCCTCACACAGACTGCGTCTACACTGGCATGATTTTCCGGAAATGCTTTTAACGGAAAAGTTTTCTGTTAAAAGCATTTGCGGAAAAGCGCGTCTAGATTGGCATGGATGCTTTTCCGAAAAAGCACTTTTTGCGGAAAAGCGTCCGTGGCCAATCTAGATGTACTTTTGTGCAAAAAAGCCCCGATCTCCATTTTCGCGATCGGGGCTTTTTTGCGCAAAACAAATCTCAGCTGTCTACACTGGCCCTTTTGCGCAAAAATTTTGCGCAAAAGAGGGAGCAGCATAGTATTTCCGCAAAAAGCACTGATTTCTTACAGTAGGAAGTCAGTTCTTTTGAGGAAATTCAAGCGGCCAGTGTAGACAGCTGGCAAGTTTTTCCGGAAAAGCGGCTGATTTTCTTGAAAAACTGGCCAGTCTAGACACAGCCAAAATGTATAATCAACCTGTGGAACTCTTTGTTAGAGAATGTTGTGGAGGCCAGGACTTTAACAGGGTTCAAAAAAGAGCTAGATACATTAATGGAAGATACATCCATCAACGGCTATTAGCCAGAATGAGCATGAATGATGTCCCTTATGGTATGTGGCTGTACCTTACACATACACAGCATGTGTGACTGTGTAACATGTACGCAGGGGCAGCCCATGAGCCTAGGCAAACTAGGCAGTTGCCTAGAGCGCTGGCCCGAGCACCCCGTGATGACGTCATGGCCATTGACAGCTGTGCAGGCGGAGGGGGCGCCAATTGTGCCGGCCTCAGGCGGCTCCTGCACATACCCGTGCGTATGCTGAGTGGCTGTGTTACACATAACCTGTCGTAGGGTTGCCAGATGGTGTTAACAAAAATACCGAACACACTTGACATTACATCACAATCTACATTACATCTTATTTAGAAAATACTGGACATTTATATTTTCTCAATTTGTTTCCCGAACAGATACTCAAATACTGGACTGTCCGGTTCAAAACTGGACACCTGGCAAAAGAGAGAGAGAGAGAGAGAGTGTGTGTGTGTGTGTGTGTGTGCTGTGACTGCGTGACACGTACCCCGTGTGTGTGCTGCGTCACTCTGTACCTCACCTCCCCAGGTGTGACCGGTGTGACACGCAACCACATGTGCAGGGACGACTCGGGGACGCTACCTCTGCGTGGCTACCCCCTTGCAGAGCGGGCGCCCGCTCAGCTCCGGCCGGGGGGGGAGGGGCGCGCGGCTGGGTGTGCGCGAGGAGACACGGGTTGAGAGGGCACCGCCAGCGGGAAGCGGGCCGGGCAGAGTCTCGCGCGCTGATTGGCTGGCGGGGAACCCCCG